AATTAGTATAGTGTTTGACTTGCGCAATTTAAAAATTCACATAATTAATACATGTATAGGTTATGAAAGAATTTATATATTATAATTTGATGCATGATAGAAGATGAAATAAATAATACATGAATAAGTGAACTCTGCATAACCAGTCTCTCTACATTAAAACGACTCCTTTGGAGTTGTTTGGTAGTTGGTTTGGAGCAGTGACGGAGTTCGAACTCAAAACTCCTTCATTCAAAGAGAATGAATTATCACTACACCAAAGACATAAACTTTGTTAAAACTGTCCAACTTTAAATATATATTCTTTAAATGAAAATTTTGACTAATATATGCATAATTTCAACCACCTATACCAAACGACCTCCTTTATCATGAACATGAAAGAAATTAAAGTATGTCATATAGTTAGAAATAGGTCCACAACATATAATAATGTATGACTAGTTCATGGGATTCTGGTCCTTGGAACTACATGAAATTATTAATTTAGAGGGAAGGATAATGATGTTGAAAGAACTCACACAAAATAAAGACAAATGTCCCAACCAGTAACATGGGATTGCCAAGAAATAGCTTAAAGGATGTCTCCAGAGTTAAAAGTGAAAAGGACTAATAAGCATTGGGGATATATCAAGCATGGAAGTCTGTTAACTTTGTCCTCATGCCACTAGACCAAACTTAAACCAACTAGTCCTTACCCAACACACAACATTTTTAGTTGGATGCTTAATTATTAGAAATTTAAACATTGTGAATTTCCAATTGGAAGAATATGTTGTGAATTTCATAATTAAAAATATATTCAAGTAATTTTATAAGTGGAGTCTAAAGAAGATACGATGTACACAAATTTTATTTCTATATTTATAAGATAGAAAGATTGTTTTACGATAGATCATCGACTAAATACTTTGTACAAATGTATAGTGTTACATCTCAAAATACTGGATTTGTCAAGTTCGCAAACTCAATATTGAATCCACCACCATATTGATTGGGGATCAATACTTCTCCATATCCCTTAAGAAGTTTCTGAGTTTCTTGGCACTCCTTATTCCCACAAATGTCTTGGGCTCGACAATTTTCACCTTAGAAGATTTGTCACGAGTTGATCTAGAAGAAGCAATAGTCAAACGCAAGACAGTTCTGCGTGATGAATTATTTTTCCTTCAATACTTTGACAAATTTAGTTCGAAAGGCTTCATTATCTTTGAACACTAATTTGTTCATTGATTTAATCTTGTGCGCTAGCCAATACCTATGTTGACTCTAGCCTTCCCAAACACTTGGCCAAATTTAAGATTGTTTTGGCTTAACTCGAATTTAGGCAATAACCCTTTAAGACTTTGGATTAATATTGTAAGCAACAATATATGAAAGCCAACGAAATATAGAAATGAGGACAACACAAGAAGTTTACAGAAAACTTGATTTCCAACTTATATTAATTATAGTGAATACAAGAACACTCAAATCGTATCAAACTTGGCACTACAAGAACACCTTGACATTAAACTTAGATTCTGCACTCTATTATAGTTTTTCCTAGTACTTAGAATACACAATTCGAATTTACACTTAAGTTAGGCTGCAGATTTATAAATCATGTGACAGTCAATTGCCGACAAGCGTCTTACAATGATAGAAACACTTGGCTTCCTTAGCTTGATTATATCATATGCAGTTGACAACCCACAACTGCTTGTGATGTTCAAAATAATTCAAACAAGGCGTCAAAACATAGTCAAATAATTTGAGAATTAATGAAAATATTTTTTTCAAAAAATTTGATCAATCGAACATGAAAAATCAGAAAATATTTTCTTCCATGCCGAACACACCCGTAAGTTAACATTTTTGGTTTCTCCAATTGAAGCAAGATCAAAGACCGGGCCATTGTTGTAGTTATGAAATTGACAAAATCTAATAACTTTGATTTAAATTTTGTATTAGTTTTCACATAATTATTTAACTTTGAACATAACAAATTAAATAAAAAAAAATTATGATACATAAAGTTGTCAAAAGTACTTTAGTCACAAAAGTTAAAGCAAATATAGGAACCAAAGACCAATTTAATGAAAGGGGTTAAAATAATTGCAAACATATGAAATAAATGGTCGTGCAATAATTTAAGTTCCTTCCTCCAATGTAACTTGTGTACAAAGGACAGACCATTAATGTATTTTAATGAAATAAGAGAAAAATACAGTAGAGTCAAAGATAAAAGGAAAGAAAATGGAAACTACTCCTAAATTGCATGGAGATTAATAAGCATATATAGCAAGATTTGGACATTCATTACTCAATCAAATGTTGTTTTTAAATTAACAATAGATAGCATAATTCAATTTAATAACATATTGTGTTCATTATCTACATTGATCCCGATTAAATTTGGATTCACATCAGGAAGTCCCTCATTAAGGGATAAGAAAATTCAAATCCAAAACCTCTGAATAAGGAAAAAAGAATATTTATAACGTCATCACAACTCTGTTTGGTTACGCATACCTTATTACTAACTTGTGAAAGTAGAGAAATTATTTCCGAGAAACAAGATAATGTGAAAATTATTTTTTTTTGTATCAAAATTTTCAAATGAGATCAAACATTGGGCCAAACAAAGGATTTAACAAGACGTAGATAACTATATTGCCTGGTAGGCCAAAAAGTTGGCATGCATCATGAACATTGAAAAAACATTATTACTAGTACTAACACTAGCACTAGAATTATCAAAATAAGATAAAAAGATGGGCAGTATTACAAGTCAAAAAAACAGTAACCTGACAGAAAGCCGTTAGGAAGAAGCACCAAATTCACAAAAGAACACTAAGCTAACACACTTGTGGTGAGTATTCGCAGATCTCAATTTATATCATATTATTTAACGTGACAAGGAAATTTAATTAAGAAAAAAAACTCTTATAAAATTATGATTTAAGATAAATTTTAGATAATTAAGTGGTTATAATTCATTTTATTATGAATAAAAAAAGATATTTGAAAGTTAACTTTATCCTATTTCTAATAGGAGAAAAAATGACATTCTTTTAAAACAGATTAATATTACATAAATTAAAACGAATAGAAATGATAAATAGACCAATATGATTTGTATTGTAGTGATGTGATTGCTTTACGCTTAACTAGAAATTGTAGGTTCGAATCCTGAATATGGAAAAAATATTGTTTGGATCATCACCCCTAAATGAGACCTACAATATCCGATCCACATTTAATCCAGGCTTTAATGCGGGTTTCAAACCTCATATAAAAAATAGTAGTGAGAAGCTAGTTGAAAAATAATAGAAAATAGGCCATAGAGTGTTGGCTAGTAGTAGAATGAATAGTGCAACTATTACTAACAATAGTACAACTATTGAGTAAATTTATCAATGAAATGAATATTTGCTATGGTTGTGGGGTTTATGTGTTCCTCTATGTAAACCCTAAAGGACCCTAATTTCTTTCTTTTATACACATTTAATTTATAGGGGGTGGGGTGGGGACATGAACTTGATAATGTGGGTTTAGTTTTCCCCATTTCTTCATCTACCACTTGCTAACACAATGCAAAGGGCTTTGCCTTACCTTAAGACATGTCAAATCAATCCATTGTGAAAAAACTTTGACAAGACTTCTATTAATTTATAATATAATGGCATAATACATAAAGAGGACCTTTAACTTGGCATCAATTTACAACTATGACCCTAAACTTTGCCAGTGCACAAGTAGGCACTTTAACTATCACAAATTTAAACAATTAAACACTCGTATATCCCAGGCAAAGTGCGTGATATACAAATGCTTCTACGTGGCTGACAACTAATTAAAATAAATACACGTGGATTTTTCAATTAAAAAACTAAAACTAAAAATAAAATAAATATTAGTTAACATGTCTGATCCTATGCTTAGAACATACGACAACATTTTCCTCTTTCTTCTCAACAAAACACTAACCCTAAGTTCCTACATTTCATCCTTTGAATCAAAGATAAAATTGTTCGAGAATTGTGGTGAAATTTCACGAACTTGATGTCAATCTATTCTTCTTCTTCAATTTAGTTAAGGTATGTTTAATTTTCCCTTTTGAAATTCGTTTTTGATAATTTTATATAAAAAATATGATTTTTTTACCACAACTGTAAATTTGCTCTTTTTTTTCATAGTATTGAACATATGGGTCACATTATTGTTGTTTTTCACCATGGAGGTAGCTTTTATAAAGGTCGATATGTTTCGAAATTGGACAATATTATATTTAGCATAGACAAGGACCACTTCTCTTTGACCGAAATGAAATCTTATGCAAAAGATGTTGGGTATGATGAAATTGAAGCTTTTTATGTTGAAGACCCTACTACCCATAGATTTGTGAAGTTAGAAAGTGACAACCAACTATACAATTGTGTTAAAGAATTGTGGAGTGGGTCCTATTTCAATTTGTATCTGAAGCATGTGAATGTTGAAGAAAGGGGGCCCACTACTAGCACTGTCTTGGGAACATTTTCTGGTGAAAAAAATATTCAAGAATTAGGGGATTCCTCTAAAGCTTCACATCCTGAGGATGGTATAAATGGGACCTTAAACGAGGGAGATGGTAATGATAATGAGGAAGAAAATAGTGACTCTCTTGACTTTGAAGAGGAAGATTTAGATGGGTTCCGATGAGGATGATAGTGAAGTTGATGAAGAATTGAGAGCCTTTAGAGAAAATCTGAGACAAGAAAAGAGGAATGAAGCTGCAACGTCAAAAAAGAGAATTAAAAAATCTTTCAAGAATCAAGAGGTTGAGCTTGGAGAAGCTGGCATAGATAAGGGATTTGAGGATATTTTCAAGAACAAGGCAGCCAAGTATATTGGTAGATTGGGAGGTAATGAAGAGTTCATTGGTTCATCAGATGAACCAAGTGAAGATAGCGATGAAGAGCTAGATGTTTTAGCACAACCAGGTGTTGATTTACCTTCAAGAAGAAAAAAGCAAAAAATTGAGGTATGATAATTCTTGTTCCATTTCTTTCTTTGAATTGGGTATGATATTTGAGAGTGCAGTTGAGTTTAGAAAAGCTATCTCTAATTATGGTGTTCGACAGAAGGTTCAATTAAAAATTAAACCTAATGAACCTCATAGAGTAAGGGTAAGATGTGTAGGAAAATGTAACTGGGAAATATTTGCTAGCTTGGATAAAGATACAGGAAACTTTTCTGTGAAAAATTATTATCCTGTTCACAGATGTCCTACAAAGAACATGAACAGATTATGCTCAGCCAAATATGTGGAAAGAAAAATGAGGGAAAGAATAATATCCCAACCTGATATTAGAGTTCATAAGCTTCAAGAGACAATACGAAAGAAGTGGGGTTTAAAAGTGGGAAGATCAATATGTTATAGGGCAAAGATGAATGTAATCAACAAGTTCTTGGGTGATTGGAAGCTAGAGTTTTCAAAGTTGTTAGACTATGCTGATATGATTAAGAGTACGAATCCTGGGACTTCTTGTTGGGTGAGAACTGATAATGAAACAATCCCCGGAAAATACTTGTTCAAATATTTCTATGTTTGCTTTGGGGCATTGAAGAACGGATGGCTTGAAGGTTGTAGGAAGATTATAGGATTGGATGGATGTTTTTTGAAGGGTGCTTGTAAAGGAGAATTATTAGTGGCTGTTGGAAAAAATGGAAACCAACAAATGTATCCAATAGCTTGGGCAGTGGTTGACCAAGAAACTAAACACTCTTGGAGTTGGTTCTTGAGCTATCTCATTCAAGATTTGCAACTTGGTGACGGAAATGGCATAACAATCATGTCTGATATGCAAAAGGTATTGTTTTAAACTGTTTATACTTGTTTATATAAGTTGTTTCTGCCTTCTTCTTCTTTATACTTGTTTTATCTTTTATTTACAATTTATAATTTTGAATCAGTTGAGGCATATGTGATATTGTAGTATAGAAAAATAAGGCATGTGTGATATTGTAGTATAGAAACAGGGAATGACCATACCACATTTTAAACTACTAGGAAAATGTGTTTCTGAACATAGAAAGCTTGCAACTTTCTAGCATCAATATATCCACTCTGTTAAAATTATGTGTAGTTGTTCATATTTCTGTCCCATCAGTAATGTATGAAGCTCTTATTAATCTATCCTCTAATATCTAGAGTCTCCTAAGGCAAATAAATGGGAACAAACAAACACTAGTGTTGTTAACAAACAAACTATAAACACCTCAAGAACACTATCTAAAATTCAAGAAACATAGTGTTGTTGTCTTCTTCTTCTTCTAATTTTTTTTTTTATCATTTGAAAAAAGAAGCTGATTTCTGCCAGCTTTTTAAATTTTCTGCCATATTTCTTGTTAAAATTGGACTTAAGCTTTATGATGTAACATCCTTTGCCATGTCTATTTACTTTGAAAGTTGAGGCATATGTGTATTTTCTTTAAGTTTGAACTTGAAGGTGCTGCTTTTATGTCCTTATTACTTTGGTGTTTAATGTTGAACTTCATCTATTTATTTTATTTTCTAGGGTCTTGATTCAGCTGTTGATGGATTGCTTCCTAATGTTGAAAGGAGAATGTGTGCAAGGCACATTTGGGCAAATTGGCAAAAGACTTGGAGAGGTGAAGCAAGGAGAAAAGCATTTTGGAGGTGTTCCAAAGCTAGTTTTGAAGTAAAGTTGAGTGATCAGTTTGCATATTTGGGACAACTTGGTGACAACATTTGTGAGTCATTGCTTAAGTATAACAAAGAATATTGGTGTAGGGCTTTTTTTAGTGAAAGAACCAAGTGTGATGTGGTGGAAAATAATATGTGTGAAACATTCAATTCTTGGATTGTTGGTCCTAGGCATAAATCTGTGATTAGTATGCTTGAAGATATTAGACATAAAATGATGGATAGACATGGAGATATGATCAAGTTTGTCGATACTTGGATCAGTGACATTTCACCCATGGCAAGACTAACTTTAGAAATAAACAAAGAGATTGGTAGGAAGCTAAAGGTGAATTGGAACCATGACACTGGATTTGAGATTCTGGAAGGAGAATATAGGCACATAGTCAATATGGCTAATAAAACATGTAGTTGCAGGTTATGGCAGTTGAAAGGTATCCCTTGCCAACATCTAGTTTGTGCCTTGTATCACATTGGACAAGAACCAGAAAATTATGTAGAGCATTGGTACCAAAAAGATACATTCCTACGTGCTTATAAGTACTTCTTACAGCCTATCTCTAATATGAAAATGTGGCCGGAAACCAATAACCCACAAATAGAGCCCCCTGAAGTCAAGCCAATGCCCGGAAGACCAGGCAGATGTAGAAGAAAAGATAAAGATGAACCAAGAAAAAAAAAGTGGGGGAAAGCATCAAAAAATGGAGTAAAAATGACATGCTCCAAATGCCATCAAGTTGGGCATAATAAAAGGACCTGTAAATCAGTGGTAAGTACTGTATTTGATATTTTTTTTCTACATAATCATTTTTAGACTTCTAAATCTTTTTCTTATTGTATAGCCCTCGCAACAGCCTTGTCAACAGCCTTTTCAACAGCCCTATCAGCAGCCTTTTCAACAACCTCGTCAACAGCCCTCACAACCATCGGTGAGTCAGTCTAGCACTCAACATTCCACTTCTTTATGTCCAGAAACTTCAAGAGTTGAAGGAAGAAAAAAGCAGAAAAATAGTTCTTCTACAAGGGCATCTTCTTCATTTGGAAGGAAGAGTAGAAGAGATGTTGGATTTGGTGTTTACACAGATATACAATCTGGAAGACAAGTCATTAATGTATGTGTGTTCTTAACTTGCTTTTTTTTCATCTTTATTTATATATAAAGAGTAATGTATAGGTAACCTAATGTATATGAATTATATAGCCCGGGAGATCAAGTGAAAGAGTTATCTCAAGTGGGACAACATTAAAGGATGCATCACAAACAAATGTAGATCTTGGATTCAAGCCACCTGGTTTGAAATGGAAAGGAAAAGAAGCTATGACGGGAAATCAGCTTCAACAAATGCAACAACGGAAAAAAAATCAAATCAAATCTAAATGGGTACCATGAGAGTTCAATTATGCTAGTGATATGGTTACACTTTGGACAACTCTGTTTTTGCTTATTTTGATATATATTTTTTGAAGGCATAATTCACATAAAACAGTGCTAGTGGCATTTAGATTTGCCTATAAATTATTCCACTTTTGATCATTTTGATGTACTTTTGGATATTTTGATGTATATTTGCCTTTAGACAACTCTTTTAAGGTTATTATGGCTATGAGGCATGTTTTATGGAGGTTAAGTTGATCTTTTGTAAAGCTTTTTGGTGTTTGTTATGGAAAACCTTATTGATGTTTAGTACATACTATGTGAGTTTGACTTGTTTTATTAGATATAGCTTCATATGGGTATGAGCTATTTTATTGATGTAGTATGTGGATGCGAGCTATTTTACTGATTGATGTAATATGTGCGGAGCTGCTGTTATATTATAAGATTTTCCTTTTAATTTCTGTTGTTAAAACAAAAAGCATACAAGTTGCTCTATTATCTGTAGGTTACAGCAGCATTGAAGCAAGAAACATGAGTTTTGCCAATTGTACATTGGTGTTGCTTTTGTGCTCCACATAAACATCTTCAAGAGCCAATTGTTTTGCCAATTATACTAGCTTTTGAAGAATATCATAGCACCTTTATTACATGTCCCTGTGTCAATATAGTTCTTTTGTTTTCGTTAGTGTTTGTTCTTCTCCAATTACATCCAAAAATTGTCAATTAGCAGCAGAAGTTATGTCTACAAATATTTTGGAGTATCAAGATACGTTTGCAAAACTAACATACAATTATTCAACAACTAATTTACAATCTTTCATTTCCATTTACTTAAAAACTTCTTTACAGTAGGCCGTTATCAACCCAAAGAAAACTACATTATGATCCCAAAATGACTCTTGCAACCAACCAAAGTACCCAAAATCAACATACGTAACAATCACTACATAAAGAACTCTCTATAAATCCAAGATAGGATCACAACGATCAACAAAACTCGATATTTTCTCCTAATTTTTTCCTTTTCTTCATTATGTTGTCTTATCCTTTTTTGTAATCCCGAAATAACAATTCTAGCTTGTTCGTTATAATCAATTTCGCACCACTTGAAAAACTTGCATCCAGCCTGTTTAAGAAGCAACAAAATAATCATAAAATTGTATCTTGAATGCTAGAATTTAAACAAAAAAAAAGGTCATCTAAAATGAAACCTTACCCGACCATCTTCACATCCAAGAAACCAGCGACCTGGGTTATTTACGGACCAAGAAATCTTCATTAAAGCTCTTTTTCCACAATGACAAAAAAAATTTGATGTCATTTCAATGAGCAGAAAATTGTGAAGATGCCTTTTTTTACCGTTGGAGGCCTTTATTTTTACCACTGACGCGCCTAAATGAAGTGTGTTTCACGCACTTTGCCATGTAGGATTAGAGTGTTTAATTGTTAAATTTTTGGATAGTTGAAGTGCCTACTTGTGCACTGGCAAAGTTTAGGGTCATAGTTGTGAATTGATGTCAAGTTAAAGGTCCTCTTTATGTATTATGCCTAATATAATTTGTGCATGCATGCCAATTTACCATGTATCATGCACCTATCTACTATTCTTGATCACCATCATGACCTAAGACAAATAATTCAGAGCCAATGTTATAAGACTTGGGATGTCTTGGTACAATTATTCTCTTTAACTTTTGACCATAACTACTATTTGGTTAGACCACATTGAATTCCATTTATGTTAGTTACCAAAAAAATACTCCATCTGTTTAAATTTCCATGTCTTTGTTTGACTAACATGAGTTGGAGTTTCAAAAAGTAAAGTTTAAATTTTATCATTTTAAATTATAAAAAAGAAGAGAAAATACATAAATTTTCCTCTGAACTTGTCTGCACAATTTACTTTAGCACTTTAACTATACGGGTATTTGTTTACCCCCCTAATTTAATTTGAAGTGAATTTAATTATCCCTTAAAGGGTGACGTGACAAAATTTGTATCACCAACTTTCTAAAAGCGCGTGAGACAGAAAAAAAACCAAAAAACTAACACATGTCATCTTTTTATTGGACGACATATTTAATAACTTATTTTACTAATTTTAAATATTTATTTTCAATTAACTCTCTTCTCTGTTAGTTTTTTTTGCATCTTCTTCTTCCTTTCTTTTTCTTTTCTCAAGACTCTTTCTCTTTCTTATTATTTTCATTCAGTTCAAGGTAAACATTTACTCCAAACTGTAACTTTTTTCACATTTCTTCTTCTTTTTTTTTTTTTTTTTTAATTGTTTATTCTTCTTTTTTTTTGTTTTTCTTTGACAAAATTTTTTGGTGTTTGATTCATTGACACCAATTTCGACATAAAAAAAGATTATTAGATCTATGAGTTTAAAGAGTTATAAAAAAAAGAACCCGAATTTCACTAAAAAAAATTCAAAGATATTGTTGGCAAAAAATTGATTGTGGAGATTTTGTCCAATTCATTGATAAATTAACATTTTTATGTAAATAATTTTTTTAATTTTCGAGGAAGGTGATATGATGTAATTAAAAACTGAACTAGAATTGCAATTGAAATTTGAATTATAATTTGTAGATTGAGGGGTAAATTCATCGATGAGTTTAGTTTTTGGCTCAATTTTAGATATAATCATGGTGGGTGTAGGAGTTGTTGGTTTAATGTGGAAATTGATGTCTACAAATGGAATATTGAAACCTATTTTCTTACGAAAAGAAAGAAAATTGGAGAAGTTTTTTTAATTCTTTACATAAAGAGAAAATTATTATATAATGGAAGAAGAAAAGTTGAAGAAAATTTCACTATAAAAAGAAGAGTTGCTGTTGACAAGGTGACAAACATTGGGGAAGACGATTAGTGATAAAAAAAAATTATTATGGAGAATTAAGTAATTAATTAGAAATTTAGTTAATATACATGTGGACGAATAAAAACACGTGTGACTCAACAACACCCTGCCTTCAACTGGGCTAGTGATGGGAGGGTTGAAAAAAAATACTTAAAAGATGTTAAGAGGGGTATTTAAACACCCGTATAGTTAAAGTGCTAAAGTAAGTTATGCGGATAAGTTCGGGGGAATATTATGTCTTTTCCCTTAAAAAAAAATATACTATAATGTACTATCATGTCTCTAAAATTTGTGGTGTACAAACAATGTTACGTAATATTTTTTTAAAACAAGCTGAAAAGAAAGTATAATAAATTGAAACAGAGGGAATAATAACATAGTAAAGAGGTATGAAAATATTTGCAATTGATCACCATTAATAATCAACTCAAAAACACATTAATTAGCCATTTCAATTAGTTTAGGGTGACTATTTTAATTTAAGTAGAAGTAATAGTTAGAGTCAGGAGAGTATTTTTGAGCTACTTAACTAATGGTATGTTGTTTTTGAGTTACATATTTGTGGCAAGGGGTATTTTGTGCAAAAATAATTCAGAGATAAAATTGACAAGAATTCCAAAAAAAAACAAAAAGTTAAGGATTGTTTGGTGGATGTATTAGAGAAACTAATATAAGTATTAGTGTATTATTAAATCTTTTATTTGCTAATGTCATGACCTAAAAATGAACGTGATGACATTCGTCTATTTCCATCAAAACAAATCAATCAAGCCAAAACATGGCAAATAAATTGATACGGAGACCATATATATACATTGCAAACAATGAAATTTGTTTAATAATGATTATTAATGCATGAAAACACATGGTTAATGATATAAGCGTCTTTTTTTACACTAAACTATACAATGAATAAGTATCATAACTAAATCTCATTATTATTAATATCGACATCACTAACACATTGTATTCAATACTATTCTTACATGCTCTATCAAACAACTCGATATCGAATAATCGTTAAGATGACAATTGTGATGATGAGTGGTTGTGGGGTTCAACAGTAGTAACTCTTGAGTGAGTCTAAGAAGACCTATATAGCTAGATGAAGAAATTGATAAGAATTAGGTCATCATCACACAGAACAAGAAAAATTGTACACTGACTTCCGTGAAGTAGCTAGCTATCCAAAGATGGAGTTAGATTTACAACCAAATAATACTACATATAGGCTATAGCCTATATATATAAAAAAAAGTGGTTAGAAATTTAACATCTCTATAAGTCGGTAAAAAAAGTAATTAAGTACCATTTTGCAGTGCTTAAAATAAAACATGACCTCATTCTAAATTTACTACACAAATACTCCCTCCGTCCCTTTTTAGTTGTCCACTTTAGAAATGACACACAGATTAAGACAACAATGATTAGCACAGTGAAGTTACAATTTTACCCTTATGACAACTTTTCACTTCAAAATTACAACCACTTCTTTGAATTCAAGTGAAATAAATTGGAGGGAAACAACATACACTTTTAGAAATTTTCAAGAAGTGTAAATAAGGGTATAATAGGAAAAAAATTGTTGTCCTTTCTTGATTTGTCAAAATGGACAACTAAATAGGGACAACTAAAAAAGGAAATATGGACAACTAAATAGGGACGGAGGGAGTAGTAAGTAAAGGTTTGTTATTTCACACCCCCTACTTTTTCATGATTTGGTGGATCTTAACTACTCTCATAACCAAAAAGTTTCTAAGTTATATAGGGGGGTTATTAGCTTTAATTTTTAATATTTTTTTTTCATTACATAGTGAAAAAAAATCATGTTTTATAATTTAATTTTTTTTATTAATTAACAATAAGAAAAATCTCTTTTTCTTAGTAATGAATTTTCTCTTGATACCACTAGACTTTAATTTTTTATTGTGGATTTAAGTTACTGCATAGATTATATAGGTATTAAATGTATTTTTTGTATAAAATTGGTGTAAATTGCGACAGCAGTAATGAAATTAGAATTTTCATCAAACAAGACAAAATATAAAGAGACGCATATGAGAAGATGATGAAGCTAGTTTAATTGAGGAAGTCACTTTCTTTAATGTATACTAAATGGTAAACAAAAGCATGACACATGTTGCTTTTCCCCTTTCTAGTTCATTCCCTTTTAGAAAACAAATCTACTTGAAAGCATATTTTAAAACTACATAGGTGAATGTAAAGTCATTGGTGTCCTCTTTGAGATGAAGTATTGATAGTCCCTAAATCAAAAGGGATGAGGAAAAAGGGTTGAGAAAACATTCTTGAAAGGTGGGATATATTAAAAAGTGTTAGCGGAGAGGTCACCCAACTATTTACCATCTTTGTCAAATAATCAGTTTTATGTAACTAAAATCA